CCCCGCCCGCCGAGGTACGCGCGGCTCCCGACCCACACACCGAGCCCTGCGCGCCTGGCTTTGGGGCTCGGCTGCCTTCCTGGCGGGGGCTGCCTTTCGCGCAGATGGTCTGGCGCGCTCGCCGGACTCGGCTGCGTTGGTCTGGGTGCAGAGATTGTGGCGGGGACCCCTGAGAGCCGGGAACCAGACTGCGTGGGCTTGGTGTTGGGGCCGAGGTGGGGGGGACGTCTGTCCGGGTGGTGGACCCGAACGCAAGGGCTGTCCCACGGGGTCTCCGGCTTGCGACGGCGCTGCCACCTCCCCTCCAGTCCCCAGAGTGGGCTGAAGGCATTGGGAGGGGGTTTTCCATGAAAGGGCGCTCCAGGGCCGGGCAGGGGCGAAGGCAGAGGGAGACTCAGGCTCTGTCGCTGTTTGCTTTGCAGCCAGGCCAGATCTACGCGTGCCTTGTCGGTCCCGCAGTCACCCTCCCGACTCCTGGCCGTCAGGTCGATCCGGCCGTCGGCGATGTTTTATTTCCACTGTCCGCCACAGCTAGAGGGTGAGTAAGCGCCGAGCCAGGAGCTGCTCCAAAAGGCCGGCGCCGGCCAGAAAGGGCCATAGCAGCAGCTGGGGCTGGTTGGTGGTTGGGTCCCTGCTCAGCGAGGGGCGCAGCCGCCGGAGGTGGGTAGAGGCGCCTTTGGCCCTCTCCCCACATCCGGCTCCAGCCTTCCACCCCGTCGCCACCTGCCTCTTACCTCCCCCCACCCCCGCACCGGGCCTGGGCGGGTTGGCCCCCGGGCTATGAGCGCTGCCAGGACCAGCGGGTCCTCCCAGCACAGATGCTGGTGTCACGCCTCTAATCTGGGCTCCCCTGCCCAGGGGCCGCATCGATCTTTCACAGCGTTTTGCAAGCATCCCGATAAGCGGCGGTGGACTAGGTGACCCGCAGGGTCCTGGGCCGGATGTGAGCAGGAACCCCCGCTGCCAGGCTGCTCTCACTCCCTGCCCAAGGCCATCTTGCTTGGCCAGGCCAATGTGGCCCTCAGGAGCAGGGTGGCCCTGCTCACCTCTGCCAGAAGTGCCCTGGCATGGCTGCTCCTCTGTGACTCACTGGGTTTCTGACCTCAGATGCTAACCACTTCCCACTCCCAGGGCCAGCCCATGACCAGGGTTTGGGTCTTTGAGGGTCTCCAGTTCTTAGAAGAAATTTCGCTTCAGGATCCTTGGTGTGGTCTCTGCACTGGGTTGTTAGGCGGGGGTAGGTTGGTGAGAAGGAAATAGCTTGGATTTCTGGTCTTGGGGGCTCCCCGGGGGTGGGCCCTCCACACAAGAAGGGGATTTCTATGTATCAGGCAAATGCACAGCCACACACTCTGGCCCTTTAACAGCGCCTTCCTCAGACCAGTAGTCTCAGCCATGGGCTACTAGGACTTATATAACTGGGAGCAGTACCAGGACTTGGCTTTGGCAACCTACTCCTTTGGGGGGTGGGGGTGGGCAGTGAGTGAATTTTGGAGGGGAAGAAATCGAGAAAGGCACGGGGCAGGGCAAAAGGTGGTGAGACACTGGGGGGACCTGAAACATCAGAGCATGCTCCTTCACCTTGCCCTGGTTACCTTGAGCAATAGCTGGCCTCAGCTGGCCAGTGTACACAGGGATTTCAGAAAGTTTGTTTTGTTTTTCCCATGGAAGCTTTTAAGAGTTCAGTAGCATTTTCTAAAGGAGGCTAATGAACACCATGGTTCAAGCCCTGCCAGCCCAATCAGCATTCCTAAGAAGGGAAGGCCAGACACTTGGCTGCATTTCACCTCCTTTTACTTCCAATGACCCATGCAGATGGGCTTTATAAAGGTCTGAGAGGTTCGTCCCCTGACACCTAGGCCTGCAGGGAGATCCTCTGCTTGTGCAGTGGACACACCTTTTCTGCATCTCTGAACCTCAGGTTTGGACTGATTGATACTCGGCAGCCCAGCCTTCCAGTGAAAGTGGGAAGGTTGAGGTTTGGGCATTTAGCAGATGGTGGGCTGCCTGGGTGACTGAAGGGGAAAGCCCAGTCTGCAGGGTGGGTTGCAGAAGTGACCTGGGGAGAGCCCTGGCCAGCCTGTCGTGGCCCCAGCACACTGAGCTGCTTGCTGCCCTCAGCTCAGTTTAGCTCACCTTTCCTTCCCACACCTAGGGCACATCCCACCTCAACGCTTATTCTGATTGCTGTGACCAGAAGAAAAGGAGATGGGTCTTTAAGAACTTTTTTATTCCTCTGCAGATGTGTTTCAAAGGCAGTTTTACAGAAACGGGTGTTTTATTTTAGTTTAGTATTGCTGTGGGGGGAGGTGACCTGCTGCCGATGGAAAGGCTGAGGACAGACCCTTGGAATCTGACTTCTCGTTATTGCCTATCATCTTTTTAATTGTAATTTTTTATTAATCTAGAGAGGCATATAAGAGAAAGCAAAGCATGGCTCATAATCTCCCTTCTCAGATAATTTTGCTGATATTAAACTAGAAAGTATTACATCTACCTGCTTAGGAAATTCAAATAGAACAGAAACTTATACACTGAAAAGTGAAATCCTGCTTCTCTACCTCTTTTTCTAAAGATACTCCTTATTGTTGGTTTCTTGTGATTCCTTCAAGAAAAACATGCTATCACCTGCGTTTACCCTCATTTATGTATTTTTCCTTTATATGTTATGCCTTATTTGTGCTGAGATCATACTGGCACATCATTCAGGACTTTCCTTTTTTCACTTCATAATACAGATTTTGGCGATTTTTCCGGGTCAATGTACGCAGATCTACTGGCTTCTTTTATTATTTTTTAATTTATCTTTTAAATAAATTTATTTACTTATTTGTTTTTATTTTTGGCTTTGTTGGGTCTTTGTTGCTGTGCGTGGGCTTTCTCTAGTTGTGGTGAGTGGGGGCTACTCTTCGTTGTGGTGCGCGGGCTTCTCCTTGTGGTGGCTTCTTTTGTTGCGGAGCCTGGTGCACAAACTCAGTAGTTGTGACACGTGGGCTTAGTTGCTACACAGCATGTGGGATCTTCCCGGGCCAGGTATCGAACCCGTGTCCTCTGCACTGGCAGGCAGATTCTTTTTCTTTCTTTCTTTTTTTTTAATAAATTTATTTATTTATTTATGTTTGGGCATTTAGCAGATGGTGGGCTGCCTGGGTGACTGAAGGGGAAAGCCCAGTCTGCAGGGTGGGTTGCAGAAGTGACCTGGGGAGAGCCCTGGCCAGCCTGTCGTGGCCCCAGCACACTGAGCTGCTTGCTGCCCTCAGCTCAGTTTAGCTCACCTTTCCTTCCCACACCTAGGGCACATCCCACCTCAACGCTTATTCTGATTGCTGTGACCAGAAGAAAAGGAGATGGGTCTTTAAGAACTTTTTTATTCCTCTGCAGATGTGTTTCAAAGGCAGTTTTACAGAAACGGGTGTTTTATTTTAGTTTAGTATTGCTGTGGGGGGAGGTGACCTGCTGCCGATGGAAAGGCTGAGGACAGACCCTTGGAATCTGACTTCTCGTTATTGCCTATCATCTTTTTAATTGTAATTTTTTATTAATCTAGAGAGGCATATAAGAGAAAGCAAAGCATGGCTCATAATCTCCCTTCTCAGATAATTTTGCTGATATTAAACTAGAAAGTATTACATCTACCTGCTTAGGAAATTCAAATAGAACAGAAACTTATACACTGAAAAGTGAAATCCTGCTTCTCTACCTCTTTTTCTAAAGATACTCCTTATTGTTGGTTTCTTGTGATTCCTTCAAGAAAAACATGCTATCACCTGCGTTTACCCTCATTTATGTATTTTTCCTTTATATGTTATGCCTTATTTGTGCTGAGATCATACTGGCACATCATTCAGGACTTTCCTTTTTTCACTTCATAATACAGATTTTGGCGATTTTTCCGGGTCAATGTACGCAGATCTACTGGCTTCTTTTATTATTTTTTAATTTATCTTTTAAATAAATTTATTTACTTATTTGTTTTTATTTTTGGCTTTGTTGGGTCTTTGTTGCTGTGCGTGGGCTTTCTCTAGTTGTGGTGAGTGGGGGCTACTCTTCGTTGTGGTGCGCGGGCTTCTCCTTGTGGTGGCTTCTTTTGTTGCGGAGCCTGGTGCACAAACTCAGTAGTTGTGACACGTGGGCTTAGTTGCTACACAGCATGTGGGATCTTCCCGGGCCAGGTATCGAACCCGTGTCCTCTGCACTGGCAGGCAGATTCTTTTTCTTTCTTTCTTTTTTTTTAATAAATTTATTTATTTATTTATTTATTTATTTTGGCTGTGTTGGGTCTTCATTTCTGTGCGAGGGCTTTCTCTAGTTGCAGCGAGCAGGGGCCACTCTTCATTGCGGTGCACGGGCCTCTCACTGTCGCGGCCTCTCTTGTTGCGGAGCACAGGCTCCAGACGCACAGGCTCAGTAGCTGTGGCTCATGGGCCCAGTTGCTCCGCAGCATGTGGTATCTTCCCAGACCAGGGCTCGAACCCGTGTCCCCTGCATTGGCAGGCAGATTCTCAACAACTGCGCCACCAGGGAAGCCCCGGCAGGCGGATTCTTGACCACTGCACCACCAGGGAAGCCTGACTGGCTTCTTTTAAATAGCTGTGTAGTATTCCATTATATATGGTTCAGAAAGTGCCTACAATTGTGCACTTTGGTTGTTTCCTTTTTTTTTTTTTCTGTTACCATGTAACCAGGAACAATATTCTCACTCCATTTTGGCACACTTTTAAAGTATATTCATAGACTACATACCTGTATGTGCACTTAAAATTTTTGATGGATATTGTCAAATTAACCTCTAATAAGGCTGCACAAATTCATGCTCCTACAAATGGTGAATAGTGTGTACAATTCATTATGCTTTTAACTGTACTGGGTATAATTGTGCAGCTTATTTTTTTAGCAAAAATGTTTTGTTTAATTATTGCAAGGTTTAACATTTTCATAACATTATCAACCATTCTATTTATTCTTAAGTAAGAAGCCTGTTCTCATAATTTCCTCTTTTCTATTAGGTTGTCAATTGTTGTTCTTATTAATTTGATGAACTGTCAGCTTTTTTTAGGATCTAGTTTGACATGCAGTGTTTCACTTAAAGATATTATATGTACACTTTGTGAAAAAATTTGGGACAAGCAGGTAGAAGTTTGTGAGGCTGATTGTGATTTGAGAGCCTCAGAACTTGCATTTCATCCTCACCAGTCAAGTGCTTTGTTTTAAAAGGAAACTGTTTGGTTTCCCACAAAATAATGGAAATAAGACCACTTTGAGGCTGTCCCTTTGAAGTTCCCAATGAGCTGGAGAGAAATATTTGTAACTAGGATTTTGAGGAAGAAAGCAATTTGGATGGGATGGTGGAAGGAGAAGTCTTCACCAGAGAGTGGAGGTCTTGTGACAAAGGATGTGCACTGGGGAGTTGAATAATAAGTAGGAGGGACTCCCTTTAGCAGATAGAATTTTAAAAAGCCAAAGGACCTTGCTTCTTTGGGACTGAGGTCCTTCGGAGGGATGATTCCTGGGCAGTGTCGCTTGCCAGCTCCTTAATGGCGAACATGCAATGATTCTGAGACCGGAGCCCATGGCAGGTACAGCTTTCACTGGCTAATGGGAACTTGCTCATTTGTTTTCCTAAGAAGCCAAGTAAATGGTGGACTGTCAAGTAAACGGTGCACATTTGGAAAATGATCTGAATGCACATTTGGGGCCAAAACTCTGTTGTGGCTTAATCCGAGCTTTGGAGGCTGGCAGGGAGGACTGTGGAAAGGATGCCTTTCTTTTCACAGAAGTGGGAGTAGTGGGTGTTTTAGGAGCCTGGCCAGAGGCTCCTGTTTAAGTCTTCTTGGAATTCAGGACAGTCATTATTGGTGCAGATTTCTTGTTAATTGACATCTATATAACAGATCCACTAGAGTGCTGATGAGCTGTGACCAACAGTATTAATATTCATTTATAAACTTCTTACCTCCTCGTGTCCTGAAGTTCTAGGAGAAAAGTGCTGGGAAAAGCTCCTGGTGATTTCATTCCTCCCCTATCCCCAGCCTTTAATTCTTATTGTTGTAGAAACAAGGGAAAGTAAAATAATAAGTGAGCAAAAGGGAAACGTAGAGGCTTTTATTAAGGGATCAGAGGTAGAAGGGATGAGCTGAAGGCACATTGGACAGAGGTGCAGGCAGCTGGGAGCCAGAGGGCCGATGAAGGCTCCTTCTCAAGTTAGTGACTCTTCCTGGCTCAGAGTCTAGAATTTCACAAGTGGACTTGGTTGTCTAGGGGAGTAAGGTCTCCACTCACCCTATGAAATAGGCATAGTTAGGCCTAAAGTCAGAGATTACTGGGAGAGAGAGAAAGCATGAGAGAGTGAAAAAGAGGGAGCCTTAATAACAGGAGCAGAGAAAGATGCTTTAGGACAGACAGGGCTCCGTCTGGGTGGGATGGGTCACTGAGTGAGTGTGCATGGCAGGGGCTCAGTGTGAAGACTGGGGGGCCCTGTGCTCAGGCTGATCCAGTTTGCTCCCTGCAGGCACTGCACCCTTTGGCAACCACTCTACAGGAGATTTCGATGATGGGTTTCTGCGGAGAAAACAGCGCCGGAACCGGACCACGTTCACTCTTCAGCAGGTAATGATGTTCCCCTTCTGAGAGCCATCCACTTCCTGCCTCCAAAATAATCAGAGTTTGAGCAGCTCTTCTTTGTCTTTTAAAATAAAGCCAACTAATCATGTTAACTGGATCTTTCTGTTTTCTTGAACAACTTATGTGTCAAGGAATCTGTCTGGGGAGAGGGCAGAGGACTGTGACGTTATGATCCCAGATAGTCAGTGAAGAGGCAATGATGACGGCGCCCTTTTGTCTCAAGTTGATAGTTTGGGGAACATTTCCACATCAGCAATACAGCAACATCATTTCAACTTCGAAATAACCTTCTGAGGAAGGCAGGTCAGGTGTTCTCATCCCCAGTAGATAACTGAGAAAACCGGGGCCCAAGAGGTTGACTGATTTGTAGAAGGTATTGTCATCCATAAGTGGAAGGGCTACAAGTGGAACCTTGATATTGTGTTTCCAGGGCCGGGGCTCCTTGCCTTAGATCCGTTTGTCTCCCAGAGCACACTGGAGCAGAAACCCTAGGCAGTTTCTATGGGACTGACCCAATGAGGGCTTCTGCAGGTTGATTCTGTTCTTCCAAGCTCTATAATGAAAGCTGCGTGGGTTGCACTTTAAATGTAAATGCATACAGATGTTTGTGCCTCTCTTATTTCTACCTCTTGGGGTAGCACTGAGGTTGTTAGTAAGTCTTAGCTCCCAAGTCTTCCGCGGTTGAAATTTTAATTCTGTGGGATCTTTTCAAAGAGCATTTTTCTCCCTCTCCTTCCCCTACTTGATCTGTGAAACTGCTTTCTCACCACACATAGCAAATTTGAAATACGCATCTGCTTCCTCTCACCTAGCCACATCCTCTCACCAGGAAATTTTTTTTTTTCCTTTTACCAGCTGGAAGCTCTGGAGGCAGTTTTTGCCCAAACACACTACCCTGATGTCTTCACCAGAGAAGAGCTAGCCATGAAAATCAACCTCACAGAAGCCAGAGTGCAGGTAAACCTTCTTTTTAATTATTTAACTCTCTAATATTAAAACTGGCAAACTTTTTTTTTTTTTTTGACATCATGACTGCAGAGTGCACATTTGGCCAAAGAAAGCAAATGAAGACTATCTGTCATTTTCATGATGCACTTTAATAACATCAACATAATGTGGAATATTAGATTAGGTTGATTAATCGGTCATTCATAATTAACTAGTGATAATGTTCTACACTAATTTGTCCGCGTCTCTAAGGTACTAAATTACATCAATGCACATCCATTTCCTTGCTTTGGAAAAAAAAAAAAAAAGAGCTGAGATGCTATTCTCAAAGCAGCTCTGACCGCTGTGGGGTAAGGCCGGTCAATTGCAGAGAACTGTGTTTTCATATGGGAACAGAGTAAGATCTGCTTTCCAGAAATTGCATCATGTCCAACTTTTCCCCAGCACGCGGACTCTTTCAGTGAAGTGGTCCGAAGAACATGGGCAATTTAAAAATCTTTAAATGGCAGCAGCAAAAGGGCTGCCTCAGAGCCGAGTGTGGCCCGTGGTGACTGTCTCTAAGCAGGATTTCTTTTTAGAAGCTACACGGTGATTACGTCTAAGTGCACAAACCCGTTGAGCCCAGCAGATGTGCCCGAACGCAGGAGGAACAGATTCGCAGCAGCGCCTCTCCGGGCGAGCTATTCTTTGAGCACAATTATATATTCATTTTATTAATGGGGTTTCCTCCATGCTGTTTCTGTTCTTTTTTATGTAGGGGCTTGGGGTTAAGACTATGCAAAGATCTAATTGTAGGAAATATAATAGTTTGCTTTCGGTTCCCCTGGGTCATGTTAGTATCTCTTAAAAACCTATGGCTGAAGAGAGATAATGGAATTCTGAACAGTAAATTGGGGGTTGTAAACAAATTATTTCCCCTATAATCAGATTATGTGATCCTGATTATTAAATCTGAACATGAATCATTGGTCATATGCGGGCAAATTAAACTGATTATTATTTGGAAATGAAAATCTCCTTTGGCCAGGATGCCGTTTATCCTTTCTTTTTTTAATGCCAGCTTGCCAATAGCTGCCTAAAGACTGAACTGCAAATTGAGATAAATGGCACAATTATTGAGCATTCAGAAGTGGAAGATCATAACTTCTCCCTGAAAGGTGCAAGGGTGAGATAGGGGTGGTGACAATTAAAGCTGGGAATTGTTGTTCGGGCTATTGTTGGCTATTATGCAAACAGACAATGGCTGTGAAGCATTTGTTTAGTGAGACTCCATGTGGGGACACGGCTTTGGTGGCGGGAAGGGTGTTTACATTTATACCCCTTGCTCATTCAAATATGATTAATGTTCTATAAAGCAGGGTCTTAATCGAAGCTGATGTTGTCAAACAATAACTAAATAGGGAAATAAACGACTCCATCATGCTCTTTCCTCAGAAGCAGGCGAACTGTCAGTGCAAAGTCATTAAAATATGATAATGAAAAATAGCTCAATTAAATGTTGTTATAGCTGTGACCTTCATTCAATTAAGACGCCAGAAAGTGTCTGCATTTTGCTTTGCATTTAACTGCCCTAAATTTAGAATATAGATAAAATCATTATTCAGTGGTTGCTGATATGTGCAATTAAAAACCAACTAGATTAAAAAGAAAGAAAGAAACCCAGTTAAAGGAGAATGAAAATTCAGAGGTGGGGTGAGCCTGAAGACCGAGGCTCTCTCCTGGGCCAGTCTGCTGACAGGCAAGGAGAGGATGCCCAGGGGAATAGGAGGGAGGTCTAGACAAGCCCTGTTTTTTTCTTTCTTTTTTTTTTTTAAAGCCAGGAATTATCTTCCAGGAGAGAGGGGGAAGAGGTTTAGCTGCACGGAGTAAAGAGCAGCAGGATTTCACTGACCTCTGGGAACACCTTGGGCCCAGGCTGCCTGACTGCCCTGAGGCTGTCCTGCAAATGCGATCTTGGTCTCTAAGGTTTAAAGAATTCCACACCCGCCTCTAAGAAGGCACTCAGAGCAGGTGAATCACAAGCTGCCTCCTAACCTGAGGATGGTGGAGATAATAACACTAGCTAATGTTCACCAAGTGATTGATTGCTGTGTGCCAGGCACTGTGCTTAGTATTTTGCATGCATCTCCATTAAATTTCCTAACCATGCTTGGGGGTGGCTGTTATTATTACTCTCAGACAATTTGGATTATGGTACCCAGCCAAGCCACTGGGCTTCAAATTGTGGATCTGCCACTTAGCACTTGGATGACCTCAGGCAAGTTAATTAAACTGTCTGTGCTTAGTTTTCTCATCTGTAAAGTGGGGGTAGTAGAACTACCTGCCTTAAAGGATTGCAGTGGATTCTAAACCAGATTCACCGGGGTCCAGAATTCTCAGCCAGGACTGACTCCAGAGTCAGTGTTTCTAGTGGATGGTCATGAACTTGCCGTGATGCGTCAGTGTTAAATCACATGTATGCGGCCAGACACACTCCGGCCAAACCTGCTGGATGAGAGAATGAGTATTTTTTGATGAGGGAACCCCAGGGTAGTGTTTTACAAACTGCTCTGATGATGAATCCCCCCTCTCCCCGTAGGAAACACATTTCACATCAAATAAGTGTACTTGCATACACTGAGAATTTCCACAAGAGAGTACTTTTATCCTTACTGTGGGCAGTGCATTTGGATACTTTCTATGATTTCACACTCATTAAAAAATGCCGGGGGCTTCCCTGGTGGCGCAGTGGTTGAGAGTCCGCCTGCCGATGCAGGGGACACGGGTTTGTGTCCCGGTCCGGGAGGATCCCACATGCCGCGGAGCGGCTGGGCCCGTGAGCCATGGCTGCTGAGCCTGCGCTTCCGGAGCCTGTGCTCCGCAACGGGAGAGGCCACAGCAGTGAGAGGCCCGCGTACCGCAAAAAGAAAAAAAAAAAAAAAAGCCTGTCACACCTTCGACTCTGATTTTCTGACCCACCCATGAGTCTGAAGCTGCAATTCGGAGGGCACTGCTTTGCTAGATCTTTAGAGAGAGGAGGCTGTGCTCCCGCACACCTACTGCAGGGGAGCCATGAGCCGGGGGCACGGGGACCAGGCACTTGGGTTTAGGTTGCCTCCTTCTGTCTGATTTTCTGCCTCTGTTGGGTGTGTGCTTCCTTCGGGGACTCAGGTTTGGTTCCAGAACCGAAGAGCCAAATGGAGGAAAACGGAGAGAGGGGCCTCGGACCAGGAGCCAGGAGCCAAGGAGCCCATGGCAGAGGTGACGCCACCGCCTGTGAGGAATATCAACTCCCCGCCCCCTGGGGACCAGGCCAGGAGCAAGAAGGAGGTCCTGGAGGCCCAGCAGAGGTGAGGCTGGCTGAACCCAGGGCCTGGAGGGCTGGCGGGCACCCAGGATTGGGAACTCAGTGTGTCATTTTCCTTCACTGCCAGCCTGGGGCGAACTGTCGGTCCCACAGGGCCTTTCTTCCCCTCTTGCTTGCCGGGAACCCTCCTGAATACGGCCACGTACGCCCAGGCCCTGTCACACGTTGCTTCCCTGAAAGGTGAGTTTGGGCTCTGCTGCCTGCTGGTGCGGGGCGGGGGCTCTGCCTGCCTGCACCGCCTCCAAGGGGATCATGGAGATGGTTTGCCTCTTCTGTTTTCTTGGGCGGGCCCATCCTTGCACCTGGGGCTGGTGTAGCTCCTTTTCTCCTCTCAGTCACAGCCAGGGTCATGAACAGCATCTGTTTCCACACATGCTATCTTGTTTGCCTTCTGCGTGGCCTGAGAATGAGGGTGATGTCATCTCACTGCACCAGCTGCGGAATTGGTTGAGAGAGGGCTGTTTCAGGAGGGCCGTTGCATGTTCACAGACTGCCGCCTCCTGTCGGTACCAGTTTTAGGTGCTAGTTTGCAGCTCGTGGGTGAGGCCTGCGATGCACCGTTGTCCCAGCTCGTGAGGACCCTCCCCATATGTGCAGCCTCCCCACCTGCCTTCCCTGGGGCCTCCTGATGTTAAGGGTTAGGATTTGTGGTTTTCTAAGATTTGCTGTCTTCTCAAAGGCTGTGGTTGTCTGAAGGATGGAAACTATTTGGGGCATTTTTGTCAGGCCCAGAGAGAAGGACTCTGGTGGGGCTGTCCTTTGGGGGTTTCTGGGTCAACCCTACTGGATGAATGGGTCTATCCAGTGTCTTTCAATTCTTGGCCCCAAACTCTCTCTTCCTGTGAGGAGACCAAGGAGCTGTGCTGGCCGGGAGCAGGGCTGGGCCCCAGAGTTCATCTGGGACAGTGAGTGTTAGTGTTGGGGTTTGTCTGTCACAGCGGGTCTGGGAGATGGGGGTGCAGGTGCGGGCTGTAGGCTTTTTCCCCATAATAGGCAGTGGGAGAGGCCCTCCTAGGATGTTTCCTGTGTGCTCTGTTTTAGGGTCTGGGGTCTTCTGCCCTCGAGAGGTTCCCCCTCCTGCAGGTTGGTCTCGCACGTGCGTGTGCACATGGGCGTGCGTGCGCACACACACACACACGCACACGCACACTGGCAATCTGCATTGCAAATGTAGTTTCTGGAGCCTGAATAAGGGCATGATGGAGCCTCTCTAGGGAATCTCAGAAGGGGGAGAAGGGTGTTCTACGCACAGAGAACAACACGTGCAGAGTGCCAGGAACAGGAAGAGGAACCAGGCTTGTCTGGAGAACGGCTGGAATGTTGGGTGCCCACAGGAGAGTGCCCAGAGATAAGGTGGAGGGGCCAGAGCTCGCAGGCCTTGGAGGCCGCACTCCCGCATTTGGATTTTCCACCGTAGCAGGTGGGACCCTGAGGCCTGGAGCCACTTCTGAGTGGTCCAGGCAGCTGGGCAAGTCGCCGTGCTCAGATGGCCGGTGTGGGTTGATGAGGTTCAGCTCCATCCAGCTCTGCACCCTGTGCCCTGAGAGTGCTCCCTTCAGCTCCAGGGTCTGTGTGCTCCAGGGGCCAAGTAGAGCCCCCTGCCACAGAGCATCCTTGGGACGTATTCACAGACACAATAGGCTGAGGGGGCACTGTGAAGATGGGGTCCCAATTGGAAGGGGCTTCCAGGAGGAGATTACCACTGGGACTTTGGTATCATTCAAGGAGCTGCTCTGGGCAGAAGAGCAATCCTGTGTCCATCTATGAAATCCTCTCTGCTTTGGTGAGGCCCAGCTCAGTTCCTGAGAGTAACCATCTCTTTTATCAATGTTCTCTGCTTGCCCCACTCCAGCCTCACGAGTTGAAGGTGAATCCCATGTCTCTTCGCTGGGGCAGTTGGGAGGGGTCTGGGGCAAAGCCCAGGCCCTGCTGGAGGCCTGAGGTGGCTGAACGAGTGGAGAGAGGGCCGGGCTGCTGGCAGGGAGGGTGGGAGTGCCTGCCTGCCACTGAGAGGCTGAAGGCGCTGATAAGAGGGAGACAGAGGACAGAGCAGAAGGAAGCAGGGCTGGTGGGAGGGGCAGGTAAATCTGTCATTCTCCTCTTCCTTTCCTCGTATGTACTCCCCCAACCCCAGCACTTCCCTTGGGGCCTGACCTGTGCCTGCTTCGCTGGAAACAGACTTTCCTTTGATGGAGGGATGGGGCGTTGGGGTGTCAGGATTCGGCAGAAGTGATGGAAATCACAGTGTGCTCACCAAACCAGGGCACGTCTTTGTGCCTTGTGGTGGCGCTTGCTCGGGAAGCTTGCACATCCCCACTGGAAGGTCTTCCTGGCTACGATCAGGGACACGAGGTGCGCTGGGGCATGTGACACACTCTGATAGCTCCAGAGCCAGGCAGGCGATGAGCGAAGCGAGTATGTGTGGGCTTTGTCTTCGCTCCCCCAGATACGCAGCTGTCTTGGTCTGTACGTCATTCTCCCACTTGTGAGAAAGGGGTGGGGAAAAGGCACGTTTCTCTACGTCAGAAGCAGTTATGCGAGGAGCACACTAAGGGGCTCCCTGAGATTCGGCAGAGGTGGGCTGGGGAGCATTTGTCAGCCGATGGTGGCCAAGTGGGTCTGTGGACCCTACATTGCCAGAACTATTGAAATTTCAGGAGAAGCTGGAAATCTGGATTTTTATTTGAAATAGTCCCATCTTTGGCTCTTTTGACGCGCAGGCTCAGCGGCCATGGCTCACGGGCACAGACGCTCCGCGGCATGTGGGATCTTCCCGGACCGGGGCACGAACCCGCGTCCCCGGCATCGGCAGGCGGACTCTCAACCACTGCGCCACCAGGGAAGCCCAAAGTAGTCCCATCTTTTAAATGTGATCTCCAAGTCTTTGGGCCAAATGGGTGCCTCATTGGTCAGACCAGCCTGCGGACTGCCTTTCTGTGGGGGGCACTTCTCCGCCACCCCTCCCATCTCTGCTTTCTGTGTTCTTCTTGCTGCATTTGTAGCTCCTCCTCAGGCCTCCCCCGGCAAAGTTCCCCTCCTGTAGCTCATCCTGACCCCTTTACCCACCAAGGCCCTTGCTATCTGGCCCCTCTGAGCAGCTGGATGTTTAGTCTCTGGCAAGCTAAGTGGTGTTGGAAAGGGAGGGAAATGAGTGATTATTGAAAACCTTTTCTGTCCTCTGCCCGGTGGTCTCACGTGTGGTCCCGTTTAATTCTCACGGTAGAGGAGGGTAGTAAACGATGTATCAGGGAGGCTCCAGAGCTGCACAGCAGGTCAGTGGAGCTGGGATGGCTTTGCGATAACAGCTGGCATTGGTTGGGGTATCTTTGCTTTCTAAGAGTGCCTGACCCTGTGAGGTGGCAGCACAGCCTCGCTCTAGTCCAGGTGGGCTTGGTCGTCCTTGGAGGTGTGCTTGGGGGACCTGCCTCTGCCTCAGAACCTGGGGTAACAAGCATGTACCTGCAAGTCAGGTTCTGGATGCCCCGGGATTCAACTCTCGATTGTTTTCCAGAACATTTGTTAAGTGGTTTGAGGCCTACATCTTCCAGACTCTTGCAGCCTACGTCTTCTTCTCTGAGGGTTCCCCAGCTACAGAAGTTAAGTGCATGGCCCAGTTTAGGCCCAAGAGAGGAGCAATCCCAATTTTCTAGGCCTGGCTCAGTGCCCGGACCTCTGGGCTGTGACCTGGCCTCCCTTTCCTGAGTTCACCCCCAGAGGTGGCTGGGCGGCCAGGTGCTGGCAGAGCTGGTGACCTGAGCTCTGCTTCCAGGGGCCTCTGGCCAACAAGGGGGCCCCCTCAGCAAGCTGCGAGGAGCTTCATGCACGTGTGTGCTAGAAGGCACACACCTGGGCTTCCATACCCATCCGTCTTTTTACAAATGAGAAGCTGAGGTTCTCAGAGGGAAAGCCACTTGCTCACAGGTCACTCATATCAGCGAGGTCTCCCCTTTGAGATCTAGGCTGATCTCCACAGGATCCTGGTGTGCTCTTTCCTCCAGGCATGATTTATTCATTCATTCCTCTGGGTGGGCACCTGTTGGTAGGGACTTTTGACCCCCACCCTGCTTCTGCCTGGCAAGTGAGGACAGCTGGCGGTCCACTGGACATGAGCCCTGGGGGAAGAATCTGGACTCACCCAGAGCCCAGAACCATTGTGAGCTGAGCACCACAGCCCCTTCCAGCCCAGAGATCCCAACCCACTTCTCCAGGCCTGAGGCAACTTGCAAATCATCCCCAAGAAAGAATCAAAGTGAATTTCAGCTGCTGGACTCAAACCAGTGTTCAAGTTTCCTTCCCCAGGCTTTGTGGTCCTAGTGGGATCATATGGTCCTGGACTAAAGACAGCAGGTGTCCTGGAGAGGCCACCACTATTCTGGCCCTGCCCCAGACAGCACTCTCGGTGTCGTTCCTGAGACTCCAGCCCTGAGACTCCAGACCAGGGCTTGAGGATCCAAGCCAAGGCTGAGCTGTGCTACAGCAGCACCTGGCCTGGGTGTGAGGGGAATCTGGGCTCCCAGTGCCCCGGCAGGATCAGTTCTCCCTGGGGGCACATGGAGCCTCCCAGCGAGTGGTCCCAGAGCTAACTGCCTGCAGAGCATTCTATAGAGTTACAAGTCGAAGGACTCTGAGTTGGGGGTCCTGGTCTTTCGGTTCTAGGTGTTGTTGTGACAGATGTGAAGTCTCTTCCGGGGAAACATTGAGAGAGCCTCCAGGTGTGTTTGTAGGGAAGCCTGGGGGTTGTTGAGACATGGTTTGCTGAATTCCTTTGAGTACCGGTCCTTGAAGTCCTTAGGTCCTCTAAGTAGTTGTTGAATTCACTTCCCTGGAAACACTTTGGCTTTGAATGTGCTCTGAAAACAAGGGCATTCTTGGAATATTGGCTATCAGCTCCTGCAGCAGGTGGCACTGGGGGGAGAAATAGGGCAAGCAGGGACAGATCGGGGTGCTGGATATAGAGGGAATGTGCTGGCGGGGGGATGCCCAAGAAACTGGACTCCCAGAGCACAGAGCTGTGGGGTGTCGTCAAGCCCTGCCGCCAATGTGAACGGCCAGGTGGGCTGGGCCCTGGCAGCTCCATGACTGTGGCCCAGAACATGCTGGTGGATCTAGACTCTGCTTTTTTATTTTTAGATTGTGGGGGAAGTGGCCCAGAAAAGCTGAAGAGGAACAGGTCGCTCAGC